GTACTGCACTGTACGAACAGTACTGCACAATTCACAGCTCTTACGGTACCGTTCAGACACTACCGAAGCTGTTTAGTTGAACGTTATGTCCATAATATACTTGAAGATTTGTCAATATTTTACAGTGTGGATGCTTTTATATATATATATATATATAGACACTACAAAACAAAAACGGTGATAGAGACAACAACAAGATCTTGATACAGAATTCTCAAGATACATCAAACTTGAAACCGTAGTAAATCTTGATCAAGATCTTGATCAAGTTTTTCCAAGGACATCAAGGGCAGAGGTATCAATAAATCTTGAACAAGTTCTTGATCAAGAATTTTCAAGAAAAAAAATCTTTAAAGAACTTGTGCAGATTTTCTCTTTCTGCAAGACGTCGGTAACTGATTATGTATGAAACTTTGTAATTTTATTATATATTTCTTTCTGCCATAGTAATATCAATAATAAATCCAACGCTACACGATTGTACACATATTTCCCAACAGTTTCATCCCTGCTGAGACTATAATAAACTTTTCTCGCGTTCTCCTATTTTTTTACCATTGATTTTCCTTTCTACACTCACTTTCTTCACCAATGATAGATTATAAAAGACTAATAGCATTATCAAAACATGTCCGACAGTCCTAGAAATTGGTTGCCATAGGTGCCTGGACATGCTCTGTAATCTAGAAAGATTAGTAGTTAAATTCGAGAAAAACGTTTGACTGACCGGCTTTCCAAAAATCGCATCTCCAGAGGCCTGAAACCAGCTCCGACTACCATATTAGGAATCAGGAGCAAAAACTGAGTCGATTGATGTATATTTCTATCCTATCCAACTACTTTAATGTTTTTCGAATTTTCACGTTGAAAAATTACCAAGATTTTCATCAAAAACTGAAAATCAACTAAAAATTTCGAAATACACATTGGTGGACTCAGTTTTTGATCATGATTCCGAATAGGATACTTTTACTCCTCGAAGTCGAGTTCTGATCGAGAAAATTGCGAATTACGTGCAGAATTCGGATTTAAAAAAAATGATTTTTCTCAGCAACTAAAGGAATTTAAAAAACCGGCACGTATAACTTTGTAGAGATGCACCTCACGGATCTAACCATGTGTAAATATTGGCTCTAGAACCTGTGGAAAAACCTGTGATAGATTTGCAAAGTTGAGTAGGGTTTTTGAGCTATGTGAATTGCGAAATTTTTTGGGGATAGGTATTAGGTTCTAAAAATATTCTGAGACTATTTTTCTATTCAGTTTTCGATGCTGAATCAGAAAAACAAAGTTAAAATATTCCAGCTCGTAACATACCTTCAAAAAACGAATTTCAAAAAAGACGTCCACTGCAAAGAAGGTCCACTGCATTTCGAACAAATCTTCACGAAAATCTTATTTTCATAGTAGAGAATCGTTTTTTTTTCTCGAGATATGAATGCGAGATTTTGCAGAATCTGCGCCGTCGAACTTGTGTCGAATTTGATTCTAATTGTACACATATATGATTTTTGGTTATCTATCTGTGATGACTGTTTTGTTCTTAACACTCAAGGACAATGACTAAAAAAGAAAGAACAGAATCCGAACGAAATAAAGTATACACATAAATTATCAGTTCTCTTTCTTTCTGTTAGTTTATTTACATAATCCTTATCATCAGATTTTTGTCTTTTAAGGGAGAGAAGATTATTACTAGAGAACCACATTCTCTCCCTCTATGTTAATTCTTTTTTCTACCAAGATTGTACATATCTTTCTTTGTTATTGTAATAGACAGTCACAGTTATTTTTTGTAGCATCACCAGACACATCAAGATGATTACTATTAATTTTTTTGCTTCTATCATTGTATTGCTATGTGCGGTATCACAAACGGAAACAGCTTGTGCCACATCATTTAAAGCTCTTTGTCTATGTTGTACGCAAAATGAGCCGGCAACTCAATGTAAAAGGGTGCATCAACCATGGCCGGGTGCATTTCCTTATTGTTGCATTCCTACCGGCATGAATATGTCAGAAATCCAGGATTCACTGCACAGTAAGTTAGAAGAATGGATGGGGATCATTTATGTTCCTTGACTCTTTAAAGTAAAAATGAGAAAGGAGTCTGAATCAGAATTGTATGGTGCTCTTTCCGAATGTGTACGCACAAATCTTTTACGCTCAATATCGACTAAAAAATCAGGGAGTAATCTGTCATTTTGGAGATTGAAGCGTGTTTTTGAGTAAAAACAAGGGTATATTTGTGATCAATGTCAAAAGCTGAGTCGAATGAACTATTTCTCAAAGGCTTTTCGGCAAATTGTATTCCCAGGAATAAATTCGGGCAAGAGTATCCCAAGGCGAAAATTTTCGAAAAAATAAAATATTATGATGAAACCTTTTTCTCGCATTTTCACAGCGATTTTGTAGAATAATTTCGGGCTCACAAGATGCACATAGTGAGAAATTCTTCGAGATTCTTTTCTGATTCGGTAGATAAGTTCTAAGAGAGAAAATAAGAGTAGCTTTTTTTAATCATGTTATGGCTCTCCGAAAAAATGTTTGACGCACTCGCGATAGTCTTAAAATTTCCTGTTTTTGACTGTCGAGCCCTTCTACACACTTATTCAGCATATTTAACGGTGAAAATAATCATTGATCAAAATATAAGGTCGTGATTAGAAATTCGACCTAACCTCAAACAAAAACGAAAAAGTTCTCCATTGAATTTCCAATTAGTTCTAAAATACGAAGTCCTAGCGACTTTTAATTTTTATTTCACAGCATTTCTACGGAATGCTCCAAAAGAGGGGAGTACCCTTAAGTGATTAGTGGCTCTGAAAAGAAAGGGTTCCAGAGGCATATTGTCCTAGTATCTATAAGTAGCCAATTCTGAATGGCTTAGTCTCACACCTCCCAGCTTCTCAAAAACCTACTCGTGAGGATGTTCGACAATGAGCTGATTTATTTTCATTTGTGGAAGTAGTGTGTCATCTGTCCCCTTTTCTTTTAGCACCCACCTGTAAATCATCCGTAACAAATCAGACATTTACAATACATTACGCTTGCGGCTATCCACCCTCGGAATGCCCAGAAAAAGTCACTCCATTGCACCACGAAGAACAACATCAGCTGCTTGGTCTACCTGCTACAACTGTAACTACAACCACAAAGGCTGCGAAAAGGACGACTAAAAAAAGACGGCGTGCAAAAACAACGAAAAAAGTAGAGAAGAAAAACCGTACCACGACAATGCCAGCAAATGTCACAACAGTAACAAAACCAATGGTCGAAACAACAAAAAATGGTACAGAAATAAAAAATTAAAGTTATTAAGTAATATTATTAATTAAACGTAATTAAACCGTTTGTTCACTTATAAATTTAATCTATGCCAATAACATTTTATGAACTCTTTTTATTTTGAGATGGCTTATCGCTGCCTGTACTAGACTGTAAATTCAAGGTCAATCAGTTTTTATTACGAAAGGAAAATATAAAAGTTACAGGTAGTCAAAATGATCCATATGATCATACAACTTTCTATTTCTTCCCCCTGTTTTCGTTGTACGTATATAGCAAAAGAAAATAATTGTTTTTAATTTTATCTCATTGTATTGATTGATTGATTGATCGATTTATATTTTAGTAGCCCCAAGTAGATGATAGATAGTGGAAAAAAGGAACACAAATATACATCTATTATATAAACAAAAACAAAACAAAACACGCTACTGGGAAGGCAAAAAAAGTTCTGAGAACCTATAAACTTTGCCACCTTGTTTTAAAACGATTAAAGCTCAAGATAGTTCTTCAGCTTTGTTTTAAACGATTTTATTGTGGGTGATGTAAAAACAGCTTCGGGAAGGGTTAAATCTCTCGGGCGGTTTGGCAGATAAATGATTGTAGAACGGTTCTACCAAAGGAAATTTCTACTATTCTCGAATGATTAAGACGGCTTGATCTTCTAGATTGGTCGTATTGGATAAGGTTCAGTCTAAATAGAGGAGAGAGACCATTAAGGATTTTGTAAAAGTATATAAGACGAAAGTATTTTCGTCTTACTTCAAGTAGAGGCAGATTCAATCTTCTAACTAAATTCTGACCGGGAGTGGAAAAGTTTCGAGTAACCATATGGGCTGCTAGATGTTGGACGGACTCGAGATGAGACACCTCAGTGGTGAAAGCGCTGTCATACAAGGCACAGGCATAATCTAGCTTACTCCGGATACAATTCTTATAGATTTGAAGACGGATATGAGTGGGTGCTTGTTTAAACTGTCTGTATATAGCGCCAAGGCGTTGCCGACAGGCTCGCACAAGTTTTACTATATGATCTCGGCATCTCAGTTTACAGCTTATTTCGAGCCCTAGTAGAATAAGGCTTTCCTCGCGCTTTATGTTAGAGCCATCCGGTAAGGTAAATTTGAAATTATTTGCTTTATCAGGGCTATTGGAAACGAACATCCACGAGCATTTTGACGAGTTTAGAGTCATAAGATTGGAGCTGCACCAGTCACTGATTGTGTTTATGTTACTCTGGCAGAATTGATATGTGCTTGTCGCTGTTATAGGGCAGATGAGGGTGCAATCATCAACAAAGAGGATAGTATCAGCCGGTAGGCATACATAAATGGCGGGGGTTGGCATACACAATTTAGAGCCAACTTTTACTTGCTGGAAACGGTTGGAAAGGTAGTTCGTAAACCATTGTAGGGTTGTTTCAGATAGACCTAACACTGACAAACGAGAAATGATTATTTGGTACGGAACTTTGTCAAAGGCTTTCTCCATATCGAATGTGACTAGAACGGTGTCTACCGATGGTTGTTTATTAAGATTATTTGTCAGATTATGTAGCAAATATAATAAAGCGTCAATTGTTGATGTTTTTGGCAAAAAGCCGAACTGGTTATTGGAAAAGAATTTATTTATGCTCAAATGGGTAAACAATTGATCATAAATAAATCTTTCCAATAGTTTACTCACTATGGACAAGAGAGAAATTGGTCTATAGTTCGACACAACACATTTTGAGCTTTTTTGTGAGTGGGTTTAACGAAAGCTAACTTTCACTTTGATGGAAAATTCCCAGTTTCAACTGACAACTTAAAAATGTGATGCAATTGATGTGCAAAAATTGCAACGTTCTTTTTTAGCACAACCACCGGGATGTCATCCCGGGTCACAAGCGATGTTATTACACAGATTGCTAATAGCTAAAACTATTGCCTCCTTAGAAGGACATGTGAAATTAAGAGTGGTTGTGGGATGAAAGTTGGACTGGGTGTTGGCATGGGACCTGATGTAACGCAGCTAGAAAAATATTGACTAAAGAGGTCCGCTGTTTCCTGGTCAGCTGAGGCAGATGCAACACCATTAGTAATTGTTGCGGGTAGACCAGCGTTACCTTGTCTCATTCGATTAATGGCGGCCCAAAAGGCTACAGGTGATGTGAAGGAGGTAGCAATTTGGTTAAAATGGGCAGTTTTGTCTTTGTTTAAGGCCTGCTTAACTTCCTTACGCCACTTCTTCCAGCTTTTGACTGACTAAATTTGGCTGACTTGTATGTATATAGGTAATAGAATGAAGGAAAAAGAAAAGAATAAAATATTAGATACATATAGGTAGCTGTAGTGTTTTATCTTTATGTAACATCATGCGCGAAGAGTTTAATTTATTAAAATTCTGAACATGTTAGTGTAACTATTATTATATTTGATGCGTAAAAATTTGCTTCAACATTTTGTACTGAATAAAATGGACTGCGTGGTATTTTGTTCAAAAGTTAATTTGCAAGTGGCATTAAAAACTAACATGACGTATTTTGATGGGATACAGCAGGATAATCATTGATAGTAGTAAAATTATTAACCATTTCAGCAACGGTTATAATCTTATTCCATATTAATAATTCAAGCGACGTGAACGAGACAATTTTTCATAAAATCTTCATCATCATCATCATCATGATTCAGTGATTCTGTTAATAGGTCATGTGTATCGAATGTTTTCAATATCTTACTCTCTAAAAAGAAGGAATCCCGAAACATGCGCATGAGAAAGTTGCGCACCGCCAAAGTTACACACGGGCAGGTTGCGCACGAAAGAAATTTTTTTAAGGAAAAAATATTATGGAGTTCAATAATTTAATACACAGCACAGTTATCGTCTAACATTTTGTTTATGCTTCAAAAGATATTTATTCAACAATATTGTGAAATATTTTGATAATAGTGATAAATTTCATTACAAGATAATATTGTGTGGTATTGCAGTTATTCGTTCAATAATGTTTTGATGAGGATTCGGAAAAAGATTAAATAAGCTTTTACCTAAATGTTGCTGCTTTTTCTTTTTGACTGCATGTTTCAATGTTCATAACCAACTCTACGGAAGTTTATGAAAAAATTAATTGCAGAAGAAGATTCACATATTCATACAAAAATAGCACGTGTGAATGGTAGTGAAAACGTTTGAAAAAAGAAAAAGTAGCAACATTTAGATAAACGCTTATTTAACCTTTTTCCGGATCCTCATCAAAACATTATTGAACGAATAACTGCAATACCACACAATATTATCTTGTAATGAAATTTATCACTATTATCAAAATATTTCACAATATTGTTGAATAAATATCTTTTGAAGCATATACGCAAAAAATCAAAACTAAGCCTACAATTCGACCAAAAATCGGTCCAAAAGAGAAAAAACTAGTGTTCTATAAGTAGTTTGGTGTGGTCTACAAGATGGTCGAATCCAATAACATTTTGGATGCAAAAAGCTTTTTGTAAAACCTGGTTTGCTAGAAAACCGAGTCTTAAAGCCCATATTAGGCACTTTCTTATCGATATTCGCATTCAGCACCAAAAATAACCTATAGTCCACTATACTTCAAGTTTCTGGCGATTTGACAGTTGGAATTATTCTTTCGCAAAAATGTTCTATAGGTTAATATTTCTTCATCTCTTTTAGCGTAATCAGGATTGTTTGAACTTGTTTTCTTTTCTAAAAATAGCAGCGTATATATAGATATCATGCACCCAAATGTGCATACTCATGTAAACAAAAGCGAAATAGACAACTGCTAATAAAGTAAAGAAGAAAATGAATTAAGACAAAATAAGTTTCTGTCGCAGTTGAAATAGGGTTGGAGTTGAACTTAGCCGGGCTTGCACATCTCGGGATTCATGGTTACATGCGTCACTTTTTCTAGATCCTTTCAACTTATGAACAAGAAAGAATAAAAAATAATTTTCTGTTACGACTTCTGTCATATAGTTCATGCATTTCTTTGGACTACTGCACATTTCCTGATAGTTAATACTACGACATGACTGACATATTACTGTTGAATTATCAACAGTTTCAGCTCTATTTGCACTGAGACAAGATCACGTCATATTCAAGATCATGGTTATTTTATTTATATCTATCGTTAGCCAAGTGGTATGATAACATGCGACAAGTTGGATAATTATTCAACTTGTCGTCAGTGTAGTCTGCCATTGAGCTTAGGGCAAGGTTTCAAGTGTACCCATTATCAGTTTTCTAGTTTTCTATGTCAATTTCTAATACAGCCTTTTCTAGCGGTTCTTCACGAGCGTTTGTCTCCTAGAACTGTGTTACAATAAATAACACATAATTAAAATTGCTGAATTATTCAACATTGTTATAGCTAAACCGTTAATCGGATTGGGATTGCAGCTTTTGTACTTGCTTGTCAGTGTCCGACTGTGGATAATTGTAGCTTAAAGGAGTATTTAAACAACGATATTGTTTCTGAGTAACCAATTGATGTGGCAATTGTTGTATCCAGTATAGTTATTGACATCGACATCCGGTGAACTTGCAACTGTCATCGGTACTGAATGTATTTATCCAATTTGGAGTTTGAGCACTAAACTTTTTAGTTTTTTATAACAAATTTTATCGGCAATAGTAAATAAGCGTTAGTTCATTAAATATACTGTAAACATTTGAAAAGAAATGAAAGTTTTTCTTTAGCACAAATTTTTATATGTACATGTAAATTGTATTCTTGTTCTAAAGAAAAAAAGCACCTTCGATGGTGCAACGAACCTAGCAAACGGGTCCTCTAGCGATGAGATGCTACGAAACCTTAACATCTTGATTGAAATCCGCATTTTGCATTCTTTTCGAAATCGCTATTATCGAAAACACACTTTCGACCGCTACCAACAATATGTTGTCCAAAGACAACTTGTGGACTTCTGGATTAAGGAACACAGAGCCGCTCAGTGGGAGTCATTTCTCAGAAATTGCTCAGTGAGTGACAGCAGTACCTTCTATCGGTTTACGGC